TTCAGTTATCCTGAACAGAACCCTGGGTGTGAGTAAAGCCACTGGCAGCCCTGAGATGCTGCTATGGGGATGGGGTGTCCCAGCAGTGACCAAACAGTGACCAAGCAGAACTACCAGGACACAAAAAGTGTCATTTATAAGAAACATTTCTTATTTCAGTGTTTAGAACACCAAGTGGGGACCGACTGGAATCTGTGCCCAAAGAATTGGTTCTCTGAGGAACTTCCTAAATCACATTTTTCAATCCATTTGTCCAATAGACTTTATATAAAAACACATTTCAGTACATTAGAAATTCCAATAGTGCTCATTAAATCATTCAGGTGCTGTGAAATTGCTCCCATTATGCAAAGGCAGCCCTTGGCTTGGCAGTGGGTTTGATCTCAGGTGTGGGTCAGCTGGAACCAGCAAAAGGATGAAGGAGGCACCTCCTGAGGCTGATTCCCAGTGCCTGGAGGAGCCCAATTGCTGAGCTGCCAGGAGCTCTGGGTTTCTGGCTCTGCCTGGAGCGAAAAACTGAGGCTCAATTTTCCTTTTTTAGCATTAGCAAGACTTTCCTGCAGCTCTTACGCCGTGGTCAGTGGTCACACAGGAATTCTGAGGCTCTTGGAGTCTAAAGGGAACTTTAGAGAATCCAGAAGAATCCAAAGTCTGAGCTGTGGTGATTCCCACTGGAGAGCTCAAGGGACAGGTATGGTTTGTCACCTTTTCCTTTGCACCTGAGCGTGTTCCCTGCCCATTTGGGATGTTCAGTCTGCACTCCTGGTGCAGGGGAAGGAGGACAGAGCTGGAGCAGCCTTTGGAGGGAGTGCTGGGCTGTGAAATGCAGGGATTTGTGTTGCTTTGGGGAAGGAGACACACAGAAATGCCCACACTGCTGGCTCTGCTGGTTCCTGCTCACCTGGCAGGGGCACATCACCCTCAACCCAGCCAGCAGCTCACCCTGAGCAGCAGAAACACAAAATCCTTTAGGCAGGCTTAAAAAAAAAAAAGCAACCACGTGAACATTAGGTTTATTTCTCCAGCAAAATCTGTTTCTTTCAGTCTTTCATTTGCTTCTCTTCTGAAGACTCAAGTCTTTATTTCAGACATCTGCCTATAGAAAATAAGTATCTTTTTTAAAGGGCACATTAAAAGATGAAAACTGAAGCTTGAATAACTTAATCAGCATACAAATTACACAGATATAAAAGTTCTGTTTCATTGTCTTAACTTACAGTTTATTTTGTACAGAATTCATTATGTTATACATCTAAGACTTATTATATTGTATAAATATCTGGGGTGTGATGTATATACATATCCAGTGTTATAATTCAGCAGTTAATGTATGCATTACATACACTATCGTGTATTTCAATGTAGTGCACATGATTTATATTCCATAAAAGAGCACATCCGCTATGAAAAATCAGCTTTTCATTCGTAGGGGTTTCATTCCACCTTGCAACACAAGGGTTTTCTCCATTTTATAATGGACTCTGCGTGGTGTATGGCTGTAAGGTCTTGTTGTACATTCCCCAAGATGAGTTAAGAACCAGCAGCTCCAAACATGAACGTGGGAGGAGAGTGGGGCAGGGTCCCAGCCAGCCCCAGGGGTGGGACGGGGTCCCCAAGGGGTGAGGAAGGGTCCCAGCCATCCCCAGGAATGGGGCAGGGTCTCTAAGGGATGGGAAGGGCACAGCCCCAGGGGTGGGGCAGGGTCCCCAAGGGGTGAGGAAGGGGCACAGCCCCAGAGCTGGGCACTGGGGATGAACGAAACAAAAGGTTCTGCACACTTGAGAACTTCCAGCTGCTCCTCCCTGCTCTCTGCCCCCCTGGCTCAGCCTGGCAGGGGCTCAGGGCTGGCAGCCCCTGCCTCGGGCTCCATCACTGCCCCCTGTGCTCACGGGGCTGTTCCTGGGGGTCCCCCAGGGATGAGTTCACACCTCGAGAGCAGCAAAGCCCCCAAGGTCCTCTCTACGCACGCCCAAAGTAAGAGATGATGTTTGTTTGGTATTAAATTACAGGTATTGCTTCCCTAGGCACCTACTGAAGCATAATTAATGCTAATTAATTGGACAGAACAGTTCCTATTTTTCAGGCAATTCTACTTTCCTGCATACATACTTACATACATACATTTTGTGCCTTTTGATCACTTGGCTACCATTGCTTTGTTCTCTCAAAAGCAGAGACTCTTTTATCAATGTGTAAATGCTGTTCAGTTAACAGCAAAGTGGAATATTCTATAGTCCATGAATAAAATATTGTATTTAACAGCGTCACTGAAAAATATTTAGGTGAATGGGAAAATGGGGGGGGGGGGGGGG